CACAATCACTCTCACATGTGTGGTTTTGTCCTAATGTATATTGGTTTTGTGAGAGAGAAGTATGACAAACATCTTGTGTGCTATGTATTCTGTGAATGTGAATGGATGTGAACTGTCTACTTTTCGGTATACTCGTACGATTTGCCCACGGGCGGGTGATAGGGTCGTGTATAAGCAGAGGGAGTGCAGTCTGTTTTTGTTGAAGTGTGAGAATCCTAAGGGATTTATAAATCTTTGAGACTCGAGTGCTTACCATGCCGAATGTTTATTGATTGAGTTGTGGCAAGGACCCATAAGTTGGTGTTTCAGTTTGAGTTGTTTTATGGTTGAGCCACCTTCAAGTGGGAAGGTGATCTTATGCTTACTGGAAGACTCATCTTCAGAGAGGGAAGATGTTTTAATAAAAGGTCGCGCGAGAGTTCATCCTAAACAGAGAAGGGATGGTTGGGATACCTATTGAGTGAGACCTCCTTCGTATAAAGGGTGGTTAATTGATTCAATGACGTGGTAAGCTGGTTTTGGATGATAAAGTCTGACGAGAAGGACCACGTTTTGCTTGGTCATTGGTGAAATTTTTGTAAAGGTCGCAAAAAACTTCATTGAGAGATGTCTTCGGGATATGTGGTCTTCTTGCTCTGATCAAGTAAAGGGGCCACGACCTTGCGGACCTGGCGGTAATTCTGTTTTGTGATAGTGGAGAGGTTGTCGTGTTCTCTCTGTGTTGTCCCATAGAGAGCGTTGTCGGAGCCGGAGAAGCAGTACTGCAGCGCAAATCATTTGTCGGACTTGAGTATAGGCGCGACTAATCGAACCGTCTAGTAGTTGCTTCCCTTCAAAGTCCCCCACAAAGTAGCCGGAGTTGCAGAACGGGTCGGCCTACGTGAGAGCGTTGTCGGAGGACGGGAAGTTCACATCAACAACGGGGGGAAGGACGGAGAAAGTTGAATGGCGGAGAACAGCGCGACGTACCTTATGATGGGCTTCATGGTGGTGTTGTTCGTTGCTCTACTTCTGGTGGCCGACTCCAACCAGCATGCCACTTCCTTAGCCACGGTACTCTCCTCCCTTGTGCTGGTCGTTGTGGCGCTTGGCTTATTTGGGCCGCTTTGAGTATACCCGTGTCTGGTCGAAGATCACAGCCGGATTCGGTGGGAGCAGATGGAAACAGGTGCCGGAAGTGAAGGAGATGGTGGGCATGGTAGGAGAGGAAGAGTGACCCCATGCTCGTTTCTTCACGAGATCGAGCAACGAGGATGTGGTAAGTAGGGGTCTGGAAGCAAGGCGGGACCAGGCACAACAGAGGGAGGGTTATATCTAGGTGTGGATACGGGTCATAAGTCCTGCAGAGGGGTTTGTGTGTGAAGAAAGGAAGTTATTGCTGCGAACTACGAGGTCATCAGAGGGTTGACTTTGACGGTTTGACTTTAGTTTTGACCAAGTTGTTACAGTTTGGTCATCATTGCGAGGCTCTCAGACGATTCAAAGCAACATGGTCTTCTCCTGAGAGTTGAGTCAGTCTCTCTTCTGTATTTCGAGAGTCTGAAACCCCTCCTTCTGCCTTTCTTACTCTAAGTCTGATCCTTGTTCTGAGGGGAAGGCGGCAGGCAGAGAACTGAGAGGTAACCTTCCATCTCCTTCTATAAGCCCAGATGTAACCCCTATCTATACATCTTGGTATGTTTGACTGAGTGAACTGCGTACATCTTAGTATTGACTTTGAGTTTGACTTTCAGGACACAAACCAGACTTAAGTAAAGGAAGGCATGTGTAATATCAATTTTAGATTTGTTGTTTGTCTGAAAGCAGATTGTGAAAAGGGGTTTGCATCAGGGGGAAGGATGGGAGGAATGGTTATATTGTCTGAGTTTGACTGGGTCAACCAAAGGCTGGGAGCGTCTCCATAGGTTTGGAGGGCCTAGTGCTATGTTTATTTTCGATTGCCTGAAGGACCAGGCAGGTTCCCATAAGTTTGGGTGGTCTGATTGCTTTGACTTGCGAGGGCTGAATGTGATTTTCTTTTCTGGAACCAAGAATTTTTCCATAAGTTTGGATGACTTGGTCGCCCTTTTTTTCTTTGGGGTTTTTTCTATATGCTTATTTGGTTTCTGAAGGAGGGTTGATAATTTTTTCATAAGTTTGGATGACTCTGACCCTCTTTGTTTCATTCCGAGGGAGGATTTCGACGACAGACCGGACAGGTTCCTATAAGTTTGGGAGGTCTAGTCTGAGGCCACGCAGATGCTAGAATCAGAAGGTAAAACTTATTTATATTTTATATTATATTACTTATCAACAGGCTAGTCAAACATTTTTTCATAAGTTTGGATGGTCTGACTATAGCTTATCATAACTGAAGAGAGTATTAATTAAGAATAAACTTGTGGTAAGAAGGGGCAGGCTGGACCTTAAACTAAGTTGATCGGTTCAGTCATATGCTACCTTATAAGACTAAGGGCAGACAACTGTATATAATTTGAATACTTAAACAGTTCAGGGCGACTACGGCGGCCTAATCATGTGCCCAAGGAAGAGAAAAGTTGTTGTGCCCTGTATATGTGTATATCCTGGCTGAGCTAGGCAGGTTCTCATAAGTTCGGGTGGCCTAGCTTTATGCCTTATCTAAGCCGGGTATAAGGGCATAAATCATTGAAAGATTACGAAATACTGTTTGACAAGATTGACTTTGGGATACTGAGAGTAATTACCTTTGTGGTTTGGTCTGCATGAGACTGAGTGTGACGACTACTTAATCTGAGTTTCAGTTTAATAGGTAGTTGCTTTAGTTGCTCGCTACGTGCTAGAGAGATATGAGTTAGTTCCATTTCTGCATTTTCTGAGCTAACTTTATTTTACTAAGGTCAATTTTCGCATTTTCTGGGATCTTTTGTTATACTTGGCTTTGTATAGATTTGGTAAGCTACTTTCTCTACGAGAAGCGCTACTTAAAATTCTGCAAAACCAAGGAGTTAGACAAATTTTGACTTTTCAAAGTTCAACCTGTCTGAATTTTATACATGGCTAAGTAGAAATCTGGGAAGTCTCATTTTCTAAAGGGAGTGCTGCCCAAATTTTTGTTAATTCAAGGAGTTAGACAAAATTGAACTTTGGAAAGTTGAACACTGTTTCTGTCTTTATATTCAGGCTAATATAAATTTTGAAAATATATTTTTTCTACGGAAAGCACTGCCGAAATTTTCTTGGTTTAAAGGAGATAGATTATATTTTGACAGGTGGCGATTCTGAGGAAATTTTCTTGGTTTAAAGGAGATAGATTATATTTTGACAGGTGGCGATTCTGGCGATCCACCCTGAGTAGGGGAGATTTTACTATTAGTCTACCTTGCTTTGGGCACTGGCTTAGAGGTAGCCTTAGACTTAGTTTGCAGGGAAATTTTGAGTGAGAATGTGGTATGGAAATTCATTCCCCAAACACTGATGAGTTAGCTTGGGCGTTGGTCTGTCATGTGTTACAGTTTCTCTTGATTGATTCGGTTCAGGATTTGGGCTAGATTCAGCTTGATCCTACGAGGATTGTTTTCTGTCATCACTTATATCACTGATAACAGGTCGGTTGCCGATTCGTCGGTTTACGGTTCAACTCCAATCCACTATTGCCACTCAACCTAAAGGCTTTAGCCCTGTGGTTTGATCTGTTTCATTGTGTTTTTACCGGGACTTTATTGAATGGCCATTTGACGAAGATACTGAGTATTTTATTGTTGGGAGGGTGCGCCGAGGTTGAGGTTTGTATGGCTAAAGCAAGGGGTATGAGTGCAGAGAATGGTTGAAGTTGACCCCGTGTAGTGCGTTGACTTTTTTTAGATCTTTGATGTGATTGCAGATATGTTTGTGGTTCGGACTCTAAATGTGGCTGCGTGTGATCACGTATATATATGGCTGAGAGGAATCCCACTGTAACTATGAGAAGTGATTGTCATATATTAATAACCCTTATATATATATATATATATATATATCGTCAAATAGAACTGCCCGGTAAACCGTAGGCAGAGAGGGAGAAGAGGACAACAAACGAGGGGCTGTGACAAACTGTTTCGTCGGAGTTTCTATATATATTTATGGCTTGAGTGTTCGCGCGGTCTATTATGACCGTGCACAAGGGTTAGACAAATTATGCGCTAAGAGAAGAAGGAAAAACCTTCCTTATTGTTGTATACTTCTTAAGGGTTTTTAGTCGGACGTTGGTCTTGGGCCTCGATTCGAGGTCCTTATCCAGGACATCTCAGGTCCTAGACTCTGCGTGGAAGGGATTTACCCCCGCATAGAGCCTATTTGTCGTGCCCACCGAGACACTCAACTTAAGGGTCGGAAGTGTCGTGAGGGTCACGCGGCTCTTCCTTCAGTCATGCAATATCGTGAAGGGTTTGACCCTCACGATACTTCGAGATTGCCACTTGAGTGTCATAAGCGGTACTCAGATCCACGAGGGACCGCTTGATTATGGGCACTACATAGTACGCCATCATTGCGATTGCTTGCGTATGATTGCATTGCTAGTCGATATGAGTACGCCCTGCGTCCGCGAGGTTTTATACTGAGTCTCACGCGCGTCGCCTATCGGATTTCCACGTCAGAAGGTTATGGGATGACTACTGAAGGGACTAGGAGTGTTATCGCGTTGTTTGATGTGTGCGTGTGTTTTATTTTTGTGTTCGTAGTGTGGTGTATGCGTGGTGAGTGAGATACGTCCTAGTCGACGGACGCCGAGTCGCGCTTGGGATTTCAGCCTCCCCTGTGCGTCGGTTCGCGTGCGGGTCTGATAAAGGCGTGGGACCACGCATACCCCCTACGCTACAGTGAACGAGAAACGCCATCGGCTGGTCCACCTCTGCGAGTGCAGCTGATTAACTTTCGTACTGTGGACTGGTAGCTCGGCGGGGATATGTTCACTGAAGGGAGGTGACAACTCCCGTAAGGTGGAGGTAAGTCGTGCCTCGCGTAGGCCCTATCCTGCCGTAGGGGCTCGCGAGAGGTATTGCTGGCGCACTCGGCCGCAATGGCTTGCGGAAGCTCCATATGCATTTGCAACAAGGATTTAGGCCAACTCATGCGTAACGCGGCCGGGAGGGTCCCGCGCTGCCTTGTGCGATGTCGGACCGATGCGCTCGACAGCGAAAAGGGGCCGGGCGGAAAGCGTAGAGCGTTCGGGAGTCACGAGTCTAGAGGAACTGAAAGCCATTGTGAAAGGAGTCGAGATTCAGACATGCGAGACGAGGCGGCCCTGATGTCTTATCAAATGCGAGTACATTCGCACTTGTCTGCGAGGACTTTGTTTCACGAGGCCGACGAGCGCAAAGTGTTGGAGGGGCCTGTTGCAGGAGTGTTGGAGACCAGGGCTAGCAAGTATGAACGTTATGCTTCAGAGGGTGCATCCATCGATTTTAAGAGCAAGAGTGCAACAGATCCGGGGGAAGAGGAGCTGTCACAGGATGCGCATGTTGTGCACCGGGAAGAGGAGACTCAACACTGGCCGCCTTGCAGAGTGCTGGATGGTCTCGACGCAGAAGTGTTGGAGACCGGGGCTAGCGAGCATCTATGTCATCGTTCGGAGGGTGCGTTCGTCGACTGAGAGTGCAAGAGTACACCACCTCCGGGGGAAGGGGAGCTCTCACAGGAAGCGCATGTTGTGCAGCAGCAGCTTTGGAGGAGGAGGACCTCTCACAGGAAGCGCATGCTGTGTAGCGGGATGTCGGGTCGGGCGGAAGTGAAAGCCACTGCGAAGGGAGTCGATATTCAAACACGCGAGACGAAGCCTTCCTGGGTCTTATGAAGTGCGAGTAGATTCGCACTTGTTTGCGAGGCTTTGTTTCATGATATTGAGGAGAGTCCTTGCCACAGTACGTAGCACGCGTGTCCTATGGACGACACCTTGTTACTGCCTCTTGAAGGAAGGTGAACGTCTACAGCGTATGGCGACGTCTGTTCAGGGGCCCGTTGTAGGAGTGTTGGAGATAGAGGCTAGCGAGTGCGAAGGTCATGCTTTGGAGGAGACGCATGTTGTGCAGCGGGATGAAGAGCTTCTCCAAGGCTCGTCGGGAACTACCATCAACATCGGGGACACCGATTTGGTTTTGCACAGTGGGTCGCCACTGACGACGCAAGAGGGTGGCGTTAAGGGAGGTCAGTGGACGTTTGTTGAAGGCAAAGACCGTGGGCGGGAATGACGTGCATAGACGTTTGGGGAAGCTCGACTTCGTGGTGATGAGGAGGGCGAAGAAGAACCTTTGGTGGAAGCTCGACTTCATGACGATGATGAAGGCGAAGAACCCATGGGGGAAGCTCAACTTTTTGGTGGTGAGGTGTTGGCTCGGCTTCATGACGATGAGGCAGGCGAAGAAACCGTGGGGGAAACTCAACTTTATGCCGGTGAGGTGTCGACTCGTCAAATGGGTTCGGAGCGGATAAATCATGATTCTCCGTCCACCCGCTGCGGTGAAGAACAAGGTGATCGAGCGTCTGTCCTCAGTTCCGGTCAGGAAATGGTGCTTCATGAAGCCACGGAGTTGGTTAGCGACTCAACTGCCATCGAGTTGATTAGCGACTCAGGGTGGTCGAGATGCAGAACATTGAATCCTCTGCGGACGTTGCCAAAGTGGCGCGACAGGAGGCCGGTTTCCCTCGAAGGACTCCCGAGCACGGTAAGATTTGTGAACAGTGGCACTCGCGGATCTGTCGCTGTTCAGTTTTGTGGTCATCCAGATTGAAATGATGGGCTCATGTGGGTATTACCACTTGTTAAACAAAAGTTTGTGGGTTGTGGGTTGTTTTATATGTTCTACAGGCGTGAGGTTGTCAATGTCCCTGCCCATGAAGCCTTCACAAGCCATGCGTGGAAAATCGTTTTTAGGGAGGTTATTGACCGCTTTACCGAAGAAGTCCTCGTCAAGTGTAGGGCTGTTTAAAAGGGTCCAGACTGCAGATACCTCGCCTTTCCAGAAGAGTTGTCGGGGTTCTGAAGGCTTGTGGAATAGATAAGGAGGAAGCTTTGCAGAAACATGTGGCTTCATCTATCGAAAGCGTTACTCCTTTGTCTGATGGGTCTGATGACGACGCTAGACGGGGTACCGTCAAAGACCCGTGTTCTAAGTACATCGCCAAAGACACATGCAGCAGTCGGGAGTTATAAAATTTATTGAAAAAGGACACACAGTTCTTGACCAATTCGCCCCGGTGGTTTTGGCGGTTCCTCACACTTGTTCTTGGGTATTTCTGCAGCTGGGGCGACATCATCTTTTCGCGTATCGTTACCTACTAAGGAGCTTAGCGGTGCAGACTTGAGAATGTTGCAGGACATCTGTGGAAATTTAAGCAACGGCCACGAGGTGGTTTCCTCGATTCGCAAAGGGACCAGTTCTATTTGTTGAGCAGAAGAAATTTTCAAACTCTTGTCCAGGGGGGGTGGCTTTCCGACGAGGTGGTGGAGTCCTTGGTCTTGGTTGGCAATGCTAAGTTGTCGGGGTGTCCCTCTGTTTATATTTTCAGTCCGTTTTTCTATACCAAACTCGTCGATGAGGGATGTCGACATGATAGGGTTGCGAGATGGACAAAAGATGTCAACATTTTTGCGTACGATATATTAATCATTCTTGTTCATAAAAATCGAGTGCACTTGACCCTATTATATGTCTGGAGTACTACGACTCCCTCCTACAAGACGATGGCGGTTTTTTTTTCGATGTGCTTGCGAATTTCACGAAATACCTCTGTGACGAAGCAGTTCGTCAATTTCGTCGATACACGAAACTGAATCTACCGGAGCCCAAGGTGGTTGTTCATGGTGTCCTTCAACAGTCTGATGGGTCGAGCTGCGGTATTTTCATGCTCGTCTTTGTTTCTTTTTTGGTACGCGGTTCTTCACCTCCATTTCTGATAGGCCAAAGCGACATTCCAAACATCAGGCTGAGGATGGCGGTGGACATAATCCAAGGCTCAGAATAATACCCCTATTAAGAGAATACGCTAGTTTTTTTATTCGCGAGGTCATAAACAGAAGTGCGAATCTATTCCCACTTGTTCTTGCAGTCGGCTGACTCGAGCTCTGGTGTTCTTCGGATGAGATGAAGGATTGTAGAGGATTGTAGTCACTTTCTTGTTTTTTTAGTTTTCTAGGTGTAAATGTTGCACCCTCCTGAAGCCTTTTCTTTAGGACGCTGGCAGCGGCATGCTGCCTTAGTTTGTTTTCGGGTTATTCTCTTTCCTTAGCCGCCCGATATCAGCGAGAGAGTGGACGCTTAAATGTCGTTGTGAATATCCCGGCCTCGTGCTGCAATATCTTTTTAGTAGACGCTTAGATGTCGATGCGAATATCCCAGTTCCCTCCTGACTTCGTTTTTTTTTCGGGTTATTCTCCTTGTGTTCTCTACGAGCGTGGCAGTGTCATGCTGCCATTGTTCGTTTCCAGGTTGTGTTCATGTGTTACTGATGGGGCAATCTTTCAAGTTCTCCTGTTGCGTTCATTATTTACACTCCTGCTCACAGGAGTCGATACTCTGGTTCATTTACCAAGATGTCGGGGAAAGATATCAATGATTTTTTTTTTGTCGCCAAATTCCCTGCTTATGTCTTTCTTACTCTTTGACTTCATGGTTTGGAACCCCACCTCACCTCAACGCCTCTTCCCCCCCCCCCTTCCCTCCCTCCCTGCCTGCCCGATTTTCACATATTTTGGCTCGCCGCTCTTCTGTGAGTACCGCCCATTTCTCCGGTTCACCCCCTCTGTTGTACCCTCCTCCCCGCAACCACCCTCCTTCTGCTTGTCCCGTCTTCTGCAGCCAAGGTCAATTCATCGTGTGCTATGAACGGTTTTGTCTCCACTGAATGCTGAGTGTTGCTTCCATATGACCATTGCGGAACGAAAACCATTTACCGCCAGAATGTATGTATGTTTGACGTCATTTTATGGACTCCAGAAAATTAAGTGGCATCGCGAGAATACATGTGGTAGTCTTCACTGAATGCTGCCTGTTGTTTGCGTATGACATATTCGGAATTTGGAAGCCATACATTTGTGATAAGACCGTTCATATCTACAAATTTGCGAAAAGGAATATCTTTTGCTTTGTCACCTGAAATTTGTTCATATCTGCAAGTTCGCCAAAATCATCGTTAATCATCATAATGTATGTGACATTGTGCTTGAACCCTGTGCTTCAACATTATTTGTCGCTGAAAAATTGCTGAAGCTGGAGAACTTCCCCTCTGGGCCAGCAAATGACATCGGTCACCAAACTTGAACGTGCGCCAAATCCGCGCGGTGGTTGTTTGGAGGTGAAAATGATTTTTTTCATATTTTTTATATTTTTCTTGGAAGAACCACAAGTAAATCTACGAACCCTCAAATTTTCAAATTTTTCTATGAATTCTTCTAAGCGTGAAAACTCGCCAACTGTACGGCTGTCAAATTAGGAGACTTAGCCCGTCGTTTCGTCCTCCGGTCGCCGGCCTCCCTGAAAACCCGCTCGAACTGCCAAGGAGGGTGTTCCCTGCTGTCGAAGGGAGGGTTGGTTTAAAGCGCCTCTTCACCTTCTCCGGAGACTCATTGCGTGGAAGCATGTGCGAATTAATACGTACTTTAGGATTCGCTCCTCTACCATTGCTCACGGGAATTTATAAATCACTTCCTCGACTGTTGCGACTACCGCTTTTTTTTTTCTTTTTTTTTTTTGGGAAGTTGTCGCTTTTTCATTATAAACCAGATTGAAATCGAGGCCGGGGACGTCACAATTTTACCTGGTAAGTGAAGCCAAACCAAGCTGGAAACCAGGTCCAACTTCTCACAGTTCCTACTTCGTCGAATAAACTTCTCGAAATAGCATAAAGCCCCAAAAAGGTTGATGGATCTCATATCAATCTAGTAAACTTACAGCACAAGGTCCACCAAGATCAGTAGGGAGGATCTAATATCGAGCACCTCCTGAGCAATGTGTCTAGCTCAGGCTAGTTTAGACTAAGACTACGATCTGACTAGGATGGTCTTAACCAGTCCGGGAAAGTCATTTTCCCATCTGTGGACATGGTACCAAATTTGTAGTCCTTTGTGTATCACATCGTTTGCAGGTCCACCCCCTCTGTTGTTCATTCAGAAGCAACATTTAAGATCAAGAGCAAATTTACCGACCCCTCAATTTTTTGGGGTCTGTAACGCATTCTTCAGAGCACGAAAAATCGTTGAAGTTGGAGAACTTCTTCTCTTGGCCCACAAATGACATTGCGACAAAAATCGAACGTCCGCCAAAATGGCGCGGTGGTTATTTGGAGGTCAAAATTATTTTTTGAATATTAGTCGGCGCCTTCCCTAAGAATACACTATTACACACGGGTGGGGTGTTTCCGGTTGTCAGTGGGAATGGCGGTTTGAAGTGCCTCCTCACCTTGTCCGACGACTCACTGTGGGAATGTCGTGCACTTCTTTGTTCTCGCTTCCACCTTGTCAACCAGGATTTTGTCCTGGACTGGCCGACTGTTGGAGAGTGATACTTGGAGCCCCAAGTACCGTTCTGAATCGTTCATCCCAACGCGCTTCATGACCCAGTCCTCTTCTATTTCAAATTCCTCCGGAAGAAAATATACAAACTTATCCCAATTTATCTTGGCCTCTGATAAGTCTGTGTACTGTTCCAAGATGCATTTCGCAGCGCCCATGGACTCGCTGGTAGCTTCTGTAATAAACAACAGGTCATCCTCTATTGCCCCAGTCTTAACTTTCACCCCTTCTCTCAATTCCAAGCCCTTCATGAGTCTGTTTGCCCTTGCTGGGCACCCTTGACGCAGAGAGCGCGTCAAAGTGAACTCCTCAGATTTTCTGCCATTCACCAACACTGTCGCTATCGAAAATCTGTACATACCTGTCATCCATCTCCTGAAGCTTTCTTCAAAATTCATGTGTTCTGGTGTTGCTAATACAAAGAACCAATTTACCCGGTCATACGCCTTCTCCAAGTCCAGCACCGCGACGAAGACTTTGTAGTTTAAAATTAGCTCTTTTACCTTTGCTCAAGGGAAGTCATAACTCGCTCATAACGCCTCCTCACCTCTTACAACTACCGCTTCTAAATTCAGAAGCAACCTTTGCAATGACGACCAAATCTACTGACCCTCCAAATTTTGGGGTTTGTGACGCATTCTTCAGAGCGTGAAAAATTATTGAAGTTGGAGAACTTTCCCTTTTGACCCACAAATGACACAGTCATGAAAGTAGATAAGGCGCCAAATCGACACGACGGTTGTTTAGAGTTGTTTAAATATTTTTGAAACTTTGGGGAAGGACCACAAGGTAATCCAGGAACCCTTAAAGGTGCAAAATTTTCTATGAAATTCTTCTAAGCGCGAAAACTCGCCAACTGTGTCGCTGTCAAATTGTGAGACTGGGCCCGCCGTTTCGCCCTTCAGTCGTTGCCCTCCCTAAGAACCTGCCGAAACTCACAGGGGGGTATTTCCTGCTGACGGAGGGAGTGCTGGTTTAAAGAGCCTCCTCACCTTTTCCGGCGACTCACTGTGCAAAATCATGTGCGAATTAGTATGTGGTTTGCGATTCGCTCCTCTAGCTTTGCTCACGGGAAAGGACCATGAGGTAATCCAGGAACCGTCAAAGGTATATAATTTTCTATGAATTCTTCTAAGCGCAAAAACTCGCCAACTGTGTCGCTTTCAAATTGCGAAACTGGGACCGCCGTTTCGCCCTCCGGTCATCGCCCTCCCTTAGAACCCGTCGGAACTCACAAGGAGGTATTTCCTGCTGACATAGGGAGTGGTGGTTTAA